AATCATGCCGCTATAGCCCTCCTTTTGCGCTGAGAGATTTTTGTAGTAATGATCAAATAAACCGCATTTTTAAAAAACGGCACGACTCGAAAACGGCATTAAACGTTTCAACCCTAAAACAGAAAACAGAAAACATTGCAGATTTAATAAGAGTCAAAGCTCATTTGTCACTCTTTGAATCCGGCAGCTCCCCTCTCCCCCAACTTGGAAAGTTAGTCCCCCTTTGCCTAAGAAAGTTGGTTTCTGAGAAAACTGCAAACTGCAATAGGAATATTGAATTCAAGATATGAACAAGCAGTTGACAGTTGATACATTCTAAGCTAATCTATAGGGCGAGGTAGCAAGAGTTTTCGCTCCCAGGAAAGCTCTACTTGCAGGAAGGTCTCTTGGTCCTTACTGGTGGCAATTACAAATGGCATACCTTATTTAAAATATTTTTGCAAAAGGAAGAGTTTTCCCGTAGTCTTAAGGGCGTGGTCTGCAAAATATTTCCCGTTGATAGACCTTTAGACTGTTAGGTTTATACTTCCCCCGAACCTCCCCATCCTGGCTACGCCACTGATGCCTGTGTACATTTTTAATTTGAAAACGATACAATATTATATATAAATATGTTTTAAAATATATTTATACACAAATGAACCCCTTCAGCAAAATAAAATCCAAGCAAAATAAAAATAAATCTAATTAAAAATGTAATTAAATACAATATACAATTTAAGGTAAGGTTGCGTGACGTGGCGTGCCCCTCAAATTTAGGCAAGCTGGCGGTAGGAATCGGACACCAAAACTACTGGGGTAAAACCTATGGCGTGCAAAAAGCGAACTTCCCAGCATGGTCTATGGAGAGAACACAACAGCTTCTCGACTTCGATATTCATCTTTAATTGAACCTGCTACCTTAAATCTTGTTTGTAAAAGGTCCGAAAAACTGTTATTGTGAGCGCATTGAAGATTGGTTACGGCATGGATAATCAAAAAAAGACTATTAATTTTGTTATGAAAATAATGCACGCTCTAGCCATTTTCTCAAAACTGCGATTTATTAATCCTCTTCACTCTTTGCGCAACCTAAAAGAAGCTGAAAGAATTGTTTATATTTGCTTTCAACACTACTCCTATTTCTGAAAACATTCAATGTTTACAAATAATTTCGAAGATTTGTAAAATATAAATATGAATGGTGGTAAAATCAATAATCTTAGTTTTCTTGGGTTTTTTGTTCAGTTCAAGAAAACAGGTGCATTTTCGATTCGATTAAATGTATGCCATGCAATGCAACCTTTTATTTGAGAAATCCGAAAATATTATTCGCTTTGATAATAAAAAATTATTTTGACTTAATACAGGCAAATGCGATATATACTTGACTGATATCTGAATGCCATTGACTATTTTCCGGAAACGGGTTTTTTCATAATCTTTTAAGTTTAAGAAAGATGTCAGCTGAAAATCAATCCAGAAACGTGAGATTGTAATCTTGATATTAAAGTAAAAATTTAGGAATGTAATCCTCCAGATTTTCTGAAGACAACCGTAGCGAGCATAGCAATAGGTTTTCCTTTATCAAGGTTTTTTTGAAAATTGCAAACCGCATCGTAACTGAAGATTAATGACTGAACTGAAGATTAACAGTTTTATCCTAAAGGGGCGTTGCCCTGTTGGAATTTCGAAGTTTCGAAGTATCAAATATTATTACGAGCTTGATCGTTCTGGCATCGTTCTAACATGCAAAATAACTTTTCTTCCTGTGTTATTAACGATGCTTTTGGCAAGTCAGGCAATAAAAGATATGATGCTAGTGATATTTCAATGTGCTTCTTTTTCTTATTGGACCAAAATAATATTTTTAAAGAGTAATTTGTGTATCAAATGTTGCTTAACAAGGGACATAGCGATAGAAATGTTTACAGGAAAATTTTTTTACTCCACCAATATGTAGGCTTTATCGATCTTTGGTTTCGGGAACAATTCTCAAGCAACTAACATTGGCTTAACCCTATGATCTTATTCGAATGATGCATGTATGTAAAGAGCATATTTCATGGTTTTCTGGAGAAGAAGAATGATGAAATAAAGCAAAACCAAAAGACTGGAATATGAGACTGTATACGAATAACCAGTTTTAGAAGTTATGTTGTAAAATTGAAAGAAACTCGTGCCATGTAGCTAGTTTTTCCAACCCGAAAACCATTTTAAAGGTTGTCTCATACTGTGTATTAAGGTTTTAGGTAAGTAGGTACTATTCTCGATTATATTGGAAAATGCTACACAGAAGCATTATAGCCAGACAATTGCGCCTGCTCAGGTATGGTTGTTGACGCAGGCTATGGCCTTTGCAACTGAAACCAATATGGCGGCAATGTGAAAAGCTAGAAAATTTATTTTCTTCTTGGTATCATCATTCTTTGTCAAACCCCCGGCTTCAAATTAATTACTGATTCGGGCCTTTGATTACCGAGGAACGAAGCTCACTGTTAAAGGGGTGTAACCTGTTTGAACATGAATTCTTTGGTGAAGGACTGAGATCACCGACAATCAAAGCCGTCAAACAAACCAATACTCGCCATAAAGACTCGAATTTTTTATAACGAATCTCAAGTATTCTTATTGTGCGTAAGTAAACATCCAAAATAGTCCCTTAGATAATCGCAAATATTGATGTTTAGCTTTACAAGAAATTTCTTTTATGAAAACTTGAATCAGCTGTTTTCTAGTTATTAGTACCGCCATATTTTCTTCATATCTTCAAGTTGATTATTTGAAACAATATTCAAAGAATTAATTTGTCAAATTAAGCTTTATTCCTCCCCAATCAAACTGCTGCCAGACAATAGGCGGTTTTTTCTTACAAACTATTCGGGTGGAATAAACCCATATATCAGCTTTAACTTCAAATTGTTATTGTTTCTATGGAAACAGTTGAAGCAGTGGAGGGCGAATGGATACCATAATGGCTCGTTCTCTTTAAAAAGCGGACAGTACAGGAGCACTGGGGGCAGGAGGGTACACGGGGACGGTTGCTAACCGTCAGCTGCCTGAATTAACGTAAAACTCGGAGTAGCAACTTATAACCGTCCTGTACTATGCACCAAAGTGCATATACAACATTGAACAGTGCTGGATATAAGGGAAAACAGCCATTTTCATCATTCTAATTTCTATATGCTTTTTGATACCCTAATTGCCGCATTTTTGACAGTGTATGTAGATATAAATTTGCTGCTTAATCCAGATGTATCTTTAACTATAGTAGGGGCTCCTAAAGACAGAATCTTCTTAAAAAAACAATAGAAGGATGGATTTCCAGAATCTATCAACCACGTTTTCCCCATAACATAATCGCTTACAGATGATAATTCACATCATACCAAAGCACACGCCATAGCAATAGCTGCCGCAGTAATGAGAAGCATCACCATACGTCAACATTGCCAACGTGTTCAAGAGAAACGCGTTGATAGGCTACAGCTAGACACACGTTCCATTTAAAGACTGGATTATACAAAAACTCACCGAATAAGTACTGCTTGCTTATCAAAGCAAACAGATTGTGTTTGTTGCTTGTGGGCATTCCAAAAGTTGCTTTAAAAGTATTTATTTATAGATACAAATGCGACAAAAGCTTTCAGGTTAAGGGACATAAGACAACGTCGTTGGCGACAAATCGCTAGAAACAGGATGAGGTAAAAAGGAGTGTAGTAGAGGAGCTCTGCAATTAACATTCTGTTCCGTACACAGAGTTACTTCGCTACGAATAAAAAAATCCTCAAGGAATCACACTAGAAAGAGTGAAGTATGCAAAGAAGAAGAAAGAATGCAAAACCAAACATTGCTTAAGTGGTTGGTTATAGTGAATGAGAATTGTTAATGAATATCTTGCATTGAACAGTAAAATTCAGTCCTTCAAAAATGCTTAGTAGTTACAACATGTAATCATGTGATTCACTATTTAGCTCGCATTGACCAATTAGATCACAGTGTTTTTGAATCATGAGTCAGCGATTTAACCAGATCTGGTAAAAGCCAGTCAACCTAGTTTTCAAACAAATCCGATACCAGGAACTCAGCAGCAAGCAACCAGCAAATCTTAAATAGTATTCTGTTATAGGGAATCGTGATACGTAATACCTTAGGGGGGCACGTTGATTGCATACTACCTGACAGTGTCAGAATAATCGTCATCTACATTTTGGTTAAGGTATGCCGCAGTGTTGTTAAGCATTGTGGAAAAACATTTATAAACAAAAAGATGCCACAATAGAGCCTAAGAACGTCGATGTTGGATGAAATTCGACTGAGTTCAAAAATGTACGTCAAGGACGTCCAACAATCCTTTTATTCTGAAATGTTGGATCGTTTGACCACTTCGTCCAACATGCCATGCAAATCATCTTAGGAAAACCGTAATTCAACAAATGGGAGGGCATGTTGTGAAAGAAACTAACCGACGGCTTTGAATCGAGAATATTTCAACATGCTGAAGGCTGAAGGAATACTTTGGTACCATCGTAGTTCGTTTCTCTCTAGATTGCATAACATTGCGATCTTGTTCATCAGAAGCCCAATCTAGAAATCCCCAAAGCCATATTAAAGGGCGTCTCTTGGCGACATTTCGCGGGGTCCTCGCCAACAAATCCACTGCCCCAATAACCTACTTCCCTTATCGAACATGCAGTGAAAGCCCCAACGTGGGTCCGGAGCCCACGAAACCTGCATTAGTCAACATGATATACTGTTGATAAGTGATGACTAAGCCATTCCTACTTTAGAATGCTAGCCTCATCTCCAGCTTTCTTACTAAAAGTGCATCGAGGCTAAGGCTTAAGCTCTATCTGACGCCAACTTTAAAAATGAAAACTTTTCCCTTGATATGCGTTTCTTCATACCCATTATTTCGAGCTTAGCATCTTTAGTGACTATTTATACCAAATGAAAAAGTCCCAGTAACATAAAAGATGGTCAAAGTTTGAACAAGCAAGGCAAAAAACATGTGGGTGTTTCGATTTATGTCTGTTAGGTATTTTCACTAAACACGGTTAAGAAAGTAAATATAAACAACGTTATTTAGTAATATGTACAAAATCCAATTGAATTTACTCATGTAATAGAAGAAATGACGGCACTTGCAACTAACCACATAATAGCAATACCAGTACGAGATTCTGCGTTTTTACGTAATGCCTCGGTGAGCTCATCTGCTGAATCAGAGACTGTCAAATAGAAGGGCCCACGGAAGTGATCCTTGTGGAAGGTCAGTTAAAGGAGCATCACGAATCGCTTCTATACATCGCCTTACTTTTTTATCTTATTTTGTATTGTTTTTGCGAACTTGCTACTTAGTTCTCGTAATCGAAATCGCCCAAGAACGGCGATTGCCAATAGCAGTATTGCACCTTTACAGCATTTTATGGCGAGTCTCAGTTTTTGCTGGGGAGGCGGAAAGTCCAATGGGTACCGATTAAAGCCTAATCACGTCAGAGACATTTTAGAGAGCGCTCTCGAAGCGCTTAATCACTAGATTGCATTGGCTGAGCTCTTGCGTGAGCGCCTGGGAGTAGGAACGAGACCCACTCTCAAACGCGTGCGAGCGAATAGGTAACTGATGGCAACGACCGTGATCATTCCCAATGTACGCATGCGTAGGTTTGAGCACTTCGAGCGCGCGCTCAGAAATGTTTCTGACGAGATTAGGCTTAAAAAGAGTCATCTTGGGAAACAATCATTAGGTTTGTGTGCATGATCTTTGGCAACAAGTAAGGGGGCTGCCCCGCTCATTTAAAGCCTCTTGTAGGCTTCCCAAGAAACTTTATTTCAAACATAGCTTGTTTGTCCTGGAAAGACGATGCTTTTCACTACTCCAATTTTTATTAACCGTAGTGAAATAAAACAAAAACTGATAACGCACAATTGCCCAACAGAATGGGAAATCTAGAAGCACCACTTTCAGTTTTAAGAGAGTGATATTAGTGAATCGATTATGGAAGAAGTAATTTCTCAAGAGAAATGTGGAATAATTTCATTTGTTTGCTTATACTCGAACAAGATCTACAAAATGTGTGGTCAGATACTTATGGGTCATCATTGAAAGCTGTAGGCCACTCAAGTGACCATTAAGTTATAAGGGGAATCATTCTCTCTCGCCTAAAAGGGGTCATACAAGCGTGATAAACGTCGGTAACTTAGCACTCTGGTCACCAAAGCCACCTTAAGGACCAATCTGACGACATTTTGACTGTGATAAGCAGGTCCCACGGAGGGTCGAAAAAAGTGGTTGCATGGGGGGGGGGCGGGCTAAAAACAAATAAAAAGAGGCTTGATTCGTGGTCTATTCCTCAATTCTTTGCTGTTTTGGGAAAAATTTGGTGGCTATAGCCCTCCAGCCCGTAGCTTTGTGGTGCCTGATAAGAACACGCATTAAGTGAACTAATGGCTTTGATAGCACGAGACATTGAGGCAACATACTTGCGGTATCAAATAACACTAGCATTCTCCACAAAAACGTTTCGTTTTCAGAAAACAAACAACTTTCAATTGTCAAAAGTAAACATTTCCTGACATAGTGAAAATGCCATGAAACAAAGGTGGCTAAGATGGAACGGAGCCCTATGGTAAAGGAGTTTCATTATCTTTCTATGCACTTTAACTTGACATAATCAATTGTGCAACACGAAGTCACATATAGGCATTTAGAGAACACTGGTCCACGTAGGTTGGCTGGCTTCACCTCTATCGACTAATTTGACACTGTTTTCGATTAGAACAGGTTACTGTGAATCGTGAATATGACACGACAGAAGTAATCCATTCCAATATAACCAAGCTTACTAAAAAATTACACAACCGGCGTGTATCCTAGTAAAAGTTCACTATGCAATCTGAATTTTCTCTTTAAAAATTAAAGGACGATCTACAATCAAAATGATCTAATAACATAAGGCAATGACGTCATAGATCTGGTCTTCCAAACTAAACAGGCGAAGAAGCATTGTTCGCCTATTCAAGAAAACCAATACGTAGACGATAAAATAAATACTAGTGTGAAAAACCAAGCAAGCTTTTTTAAATGTGGGCGTTTGAGTAAAGAAATTATAAGGGAAAAAGCAAACGCCTACATTGTCCAAAAGTTGGTTGCTTTATCAAAATTGGTATAAGGTGAAAATGGAAACCTCTGGACCACTAAAATATGATGACGTTTCAACGAAGGAGGGAAAATCTCTATAAATAACAGTTTTGTTGATGTCATATTGGAACAATACACTTTCTATATCCCATGCTGTATGTACAATGTTCTGCTGTGAAACTCGCTCACATATAAAAACCCCGATATATATGTCGTCTGAGTGTGTCTTCGTGGATGTCTATTTTCAAGGCAACGCAGAATAACCCCGGTACAGCCATTGATGGAGAAAATATCGCTAACATTTCTCAGGACGGCAACGCCAGCAAGGCAACATTTGTGAGTTGCTTTGTATGATCATTATTTACAAAATTGACCATGAATTAATCGGAAAACTGCTCTGAGAAGTGTTCAGAGAAATCCGAAAGGTCATCATCGTCACCAAAACGTATTTGCTCGCTCGCAAAATCAACCGCATCATCCCAAAAGTCAGTGGAAGGCACAGGTGATAGCGGCTCAACCTTAACACCAGCAGTGTCCATCATAACATTGTGAATAGGCATACTAATTCCTCTTACTGTTAGGTCTGGTTGGTCTGTGAATTCAACCGGTCCTGATAAATCATCTGCAGACGGAGGAGGGCTCAAGTACAGTGGGCTGCTCAGTTCGTACCTACTCATTGCATTAAAAACCGGACTGTTTGTGCAAAAAGAGAATTTCCTGGCATCAAGTAAGTCCTGAGCCACGCCTCTCATGCTCTCACTCAGAGGCTCTCCTCCAAGGTCGGCATTCCAACTAAAGTCACCTGTAAGCGCTTGTTCAATAAACTCCAGTGTGACGTCATCATAGGCATCTATTTCAGATGGAGTCAAAACGCTACTTTCACTGGAAATTTCAGTCTTTTCTATGACAGCCTTGCCATAGTTATGGTCAACATGTATCAAACCGTCTCCTTCATCCTCCTCAAACTCGGTTACACTGCCTGACGAGCTTACCGATCCACTACAGAATCGTTGTCTCACAACCTCGTTGTATTGCAACTGGCCGGGTTTCTGGATTCGCGCGCGTTTGGCTTGCGAATGGTTATTTTGCTCTTGAAGCCGCCTCTTTTTCATTTGGCTTTCAAGCAGTTTATCCGCGTATTCTGGAACGAGGCTCCAGTAGCCACCCTTTCCTGGCTCTCCTTTCTTTCTAGGCACTTTGACGAAGCATTTGTTTAATGAAAGATTATGTCGTATTGAATTCTGCGGAGAATAGAAAGAACCGTTAAATTGAGATAAAAGGCATTGAAAACACCCCAGTACCCTTTCCCAGTAGCAAACAAATAATAAAGTAACCTCCACAAACAGAATAAAGAAGACTTGGCAGTGAAACAACCAAACACCTTAACATTACTTCACTCAAGTCTAGGGTAGCCAGAAGGGTTTCAGAATTAATACGAGGTATCTAAATGTAATTACAATCTGACCGATGTGGATTTAGATGGAGAAGATTGATCCCGAATGAATGGACATTTCAAAAGTTCAATCTAGATGAATGGAGCCAAATTTTTGATGACGAGGAAGCGATGAAATGAAAACGAAACAATTTAGTTGAAGATTTTCAAAAACTAGATAATAAGATAAAAAATGAGTGAAATTAGATAATATATATTTTAATTCTGGAGATGCACAAAATGCATCAATCTGATTTTGACACAACGAAACCCAGGATTTTAACGTTCAGTGGGCAAAGCCATCGCAAAGAGAATATTCAATGTTGAGATTGCAACAAAAACCAAATCTTCATTAAAGCTTTGTAGCGTGTTGCTTTTCATTCTCCATTCACAGCTTTAGATGTCCTGAACAATCGTTTTAGGTTCGGTTCTGGAACCATTCAAAAAAGATATTTCTGTTTTGAATGAATCAACGATATCAGGCAGGTGTAGGTCTGCTCGTTTTAGCAACAGAAACCATGTTTGGGAAGGGCTTTATATGTTTAACATGTTCTAAGGACTTGGTTGAGTTACATTCCCATCCATTAGTACCAATAAACCTTTATTAACCAATAATATGTACCAATAATACATAGGTTAATACCATTGATAATTATATTGCAGTTCAGACAACTACAGACTAAGTTCTTAAGACCCAGTCTGGGTGCTCAGAGGAAGAAAAAGGCGTTTAGCAACCGTTGAGGCAAAATTAATTGTTTGGCAAAATATCCTAGCCGCACATGTAGCCCTTTCGATTTTGGCTGTCTAAGTGTCATTAAAGCACGTCTGGGGAGTTTCTGCTCGCATTAAAGTAGAATTAAAAGTCAAGTTTTATTGGCTATTTTCGATCTCGTACAGTGTTTTACCTTTGACGTAACAACACGAAAAAATCGTACTGGCCACATATATGAAGATAGGCCTCCGTGACAAATCTGATCATAAGATAAAGTTAAAGCCAGATTCAAACTAATGTATTTTGTTCTATGAATAACAGCAGATGACCTGGATGTTAAAAAATGATCTGGGTACTAATGTTAATAGAGAACCGCAGGCATTGCTTTAAGAAGAATTAAGTACCCGAATCAGTCTAAATCGTTTGGTTCAATTGGCCTAAAATATTTTCTGGCAATTGAAAGCTCAATTCTTAGGGCAACTGCGACCTCTGTTGAGAGCAACCTCAAAATACAGACTGAATTGGAAAAACAATTTTCAGTCATGAATCATTAAATGTAAAAGGAGAATCGGTTGGTTTCTTGCAAACCATAAATTAATTTTGCATTCACCATTCGGAGGCATTATTTATTCATTCAACAAGGATTCACAACTGCTTCTTATCTGATTGCAATTAATACACAACGAACGAGAGATTTGGTGTGTTTTTGGTTAACCAGTGAAGGCAGGTTGAGATACTGACAACACTTGTGTTTGTTTAACTTGCTCGGTTCGATTCATATTCCCACGAGTTAAGCGCAACAAAGCTACATAACCTGAAAATTCCATGACTGCGTAGAAGTGACCATTACATTTTATATCTATCCCTTAATCAAGAGCATGTTTACCAACCAATTTGAAAATAAGATTTCATTCTATGCAAAGTCCAGAGAAACTCAAGTTGTTGCTGCAATTGAAATAACCAGGTTGGTTGGTGGCATAAAGCTTTACGGAAGCAGATAATGAGGATTCACACAGAATACGTGTTTACTTTATTTAATACTAGCAATACTATTGTGCTGAACAGGCCTGGTGAGTGGGGGCAGGAAAAGCAGATATACCCAAGCCCCTAGCCGAAACTGGCCGAAAATTATTACAAAGTTTCTCACAATAACAACAACGATAAAAAACACAGTTTTAATGACGTCATTGCGTGTCTCATCTTTCTTTTTGCCCCAGGTCTCAGAAAAGCGGACATGGTGCCGAAGACATGTTAAAATAGGATCATTTTGGCCAATTGATTGAACATTTGAAAACTACATCATTGAGAGAAAATCTGAAAGGATGAATCTTTGGCTTCCGAAATTATATTCAAAATCGTACAGAGAACGTAGGCAGATTGTGGGTATTGCGCAATATTATTGGGAAACCATAGGGCTCGACGCGTTAATCTAGTACGAATCATAATTGAAGATTTGATCCAATAAGTAAGCAAGTGCAATTGAACAAAATAAAAAAAAATTGCATTGTCTTACCTCATAGAGCAGCGGAGGGTATCAAGCTTTGTATTATTCATGGTACTCAATTTATGTATTACGTGCATTTCGACGCATAATAAATTAATCCGTATTGTTATTTCGGGATAATGACGACTAAATCTATTACAAAACAGCTTGAATCTTTGAACTAAATAACTTTAACAGGATTTAAGCATTAAAGAGAGAATTCAGTGTGCATTATCAAAAAATAGATAGCCACAGAGATGTTTATAATAGTATGGCATCTTGCTGCGATTGAAATTAACCTACCAAAAGACTTACTATCTAGTTTCGAACAGATTATATCCGAAAGCAGTGGGGCAAGGGGAGGGGTTGAGGACCGTTTCGAATGAAGTGATGATGTCTTCAAATACTTTTTTGAATCTTCGAATTTCGATCACCAAATCTGAAGATGCATTAAAGAATAGGCCTACCTCTGAACATGCAAGATAATTTAAAATGTGTTAGAATTAGCTGGGATATGGCCAGTGTACTAAGGGACACTTTAAAGACAAAGATTGGGGGGGGGGGAATGTATGGTTTGATACAGGGTATTTAATATGAAACTAGCCGTCCGTTACAAGTATGGCAAGTTATAGACATAACAATTTGTGGAGAAATAATTGATTATAACGATGAATTATGGACAAAAATCTTTTAACCACCAGTATTACATGGAAGGGGGGAAGCCCTGCTTAAAAGCTTGACAGGTGATTTGTGGGAAGTTAAACAGTTGTAGCTTAAGAATTTGTTTATGATCATCATGAAATTTTTAAAATGACAAAATTTTAAGACCAAACATAGCTTTAAGACCTAGAGGTAGGAAAAACCAAAACATGCTGTTTTGAAGAACCATTTCCAAGACCAATTGCTTCAATAAAAATAACTACAGAAGCTAGATCAATGATTTAGACTTTCCAGCTTACCGTTCATTGAGCAAATGAATTCAACTGCTTTTACCTCAAATGATATAAACCTTATTTAGGCCTTAATCATTCAGATCAAACAACAACTAAAACAATTAGTGACGTCAGAATATTTAGGGGCGGGCTTAAAAAACAGGTTGCTGTAAAAGCCCTTTTTAATAAGAGCGAATAATAACATTCGTTTATCCATTTAAAATAGAATAATAATAAATGTACAATGATTTTATGTTTTCAAATCTGTTAAATTCAAGGACTTACTTTTGATTGAATTAAAGACAATTTTTAGGGTAACAAACATAAACAATAACACTACCACAAAAAAACTATAACAATACAAAGTGCATTAGTTGATCAATGCTTTTTGAAGAGGCGTGCATGCTTTTTAATGCGCCCAAACCCATGTCTTCAAAACATTCTATATTCCTCATTGTTTTGTGAACAGAAATAGACCATTTTCCTCTGTTTCCACTGGTAATGAACGGAAATTCGACTTTACAAATGGGAATATTTTTTCATTCTGTTTCAAGCACAGTATAGGTTGTTAAACGCTTTGTAAACATGACAACAAGATGCCTTGTTCTAGGACTGGTCGACTCATTTACAAATGTTCAGCAAAACTTTAGATAATCTTCAACTCATTTGCAGAAGCAGAAAGCAGACAAAGTCGCGGCTTAGTTAAAGGAATTATACAACTGTGCCAATTCTACTACTAAAAGTCCATAATAATTCACAAAAACCTTTTTTTCGAAAGAAAACTTGAATATTGTAAACGAAGTAGGCGGTTACTAACTAAATATTTTATTCCTGCCTAAGATCAAGAGCAAAAAAATTCAGAATTTTGTATAAAAATAGTGAAGGCACTCTCTCAGGTGACCTCAAAGCGGAGAAGCCAAACGACAAGTTTTTAAAAACCGTAGATGACGAAAGTCTTCCTTGAGGGAAAGGATTTACAAACGGAACAACCGATCATCCTGTTTTTCAACACCTTATTCTGACTTTATGAGTAACCATAAATTTTACATATATTTGGGATCTAGTATTTCGAGGATAACGACTGTTTTACCACACAAACTGAAATAAAATCGCCAAATCGAAAGGAAAAAATTGCTGTGGCACACGCAGTTCACAGTTCCAAAAATACTAAGGCTAGCCTCAATACTCGGTGTCAATGGCGGCCCTCAAGGCAAATAGCACTGAAAGAGACCATAAAACCTCTCTTATGTGGGCGTTTCAAGCTTTGTATCTTGCCATTAAGAAAAAGGGCTTGAACAAGCCAAAGAACCAGTGGCGTAGCGTCCGGGTATTCAAGGTATTCAGTGAATACCCTGAGATTTCTCAGAAAAAATATTAATACGACGTATAATTGTAATAAGTAAAAAATGTTTTGGGGCTATTGATTCTGGTTGAATTCGTTACCTTCAATATTCTACATTTTGTACAAGTACAAAATATCACGAAATTCATGGCAACAATAACGCTGCGAAGCATAGAGAAGCTGGGGGATCTTTGAAGCTAATTTTGAAGATTGAGCTACTTCATGTTGTATGGAGATCGGTCATGAATACGCAGTGAATACCCTAGACGGTACTTTAACCAATCAAAATGCTCCTTTCCATGAATAATATTTGCCGTTAATCAGCAAAAACAATGGTTCT